AGGAGAATATATTATTTAGCAAGGCAGCTAGAGGCTCTACCATTTAGAGTTATTAGTTGTGCCCACTCGAGATTGTATGCTAAGTAACTTGTGTACTCATCTGTTTACAACTTTTGCTCTCTTATTATTCTGGTAATGAAATATGGCCTTCTTTTGATGTAACATACAGTTGAAAGTGAATTTCAGCAATTAATTTGTTGTTAGAAAATCGACGTGAATGACTTTGAGGTCGACAATTTTCCATGATTCTATCCATGTACTAGGTTAAACCTAAGGCTTCAACAGGCAGTTAGACGAGTCGTTATGATGATAAAAGGATATCTAGGCTCGGAGCAGCCCTGCTTTACAGGCAGCCGGATATCTAGGCTCAGAGCAGCCCACCTTTATGGGCTTCCGGCACGCCAGTTTCTGTCCGTTCCAGGCCACCCAGGCTAGGGGTGGACAGGTCCTTATTGACAAGCCTAGTTGGGCTTGAATCTTTTATGGCCTCCAGCTCCGAAGGAAGTTAATGATCTTGCTTAATGCTGACTAAACATCTGTTACGTTGGTAGGTTAGTTTTTATAGTTCTCTCTTAACTCCCACCCACCCCTACCCCACCCATAAAATTTGGCTCGCCTCTCTGCTTGTAAAGTTGTATTTGTGTGTGATAATATTAAAGAGCTGAACAAGAAAAGTAGACATTATATGAAAATGATGACTAATCTAGCAGTGTTTTTCCTGGACTCCTTTTAAAGACTTAATAATCTGAGTCCGACTGTGAATACATCTTTTTAAAGCTCTCTGTTTCATCTTCAGTTCTGTTCAAGACTTGGCTTTAGTTGGTGCACCAACTTCCAAGCAATTCTTTACACTTTATTGACCCAGTCTTCTCCCCTTTGAACTAAATCTTTCAAAATTTGGAAAAGAGTGATTGCAGCTTGCCCCTACATCTTTCTTTGCTCAACGTAAGCTATTATGGTGAATGGGAAAATATGGTCAATGAGCCCCAGCTCGAAATAGAAGGCATGAGTCACTAGAATTTAATGAGCTTTTGTTATGATGAGGCCAATTAAGCATCGCTATCAACTTAAAAGGGATTAAACTATAACATGAAAAGATATGCTTAAGAAGGATAATGTTCAGGTGATGTAACATGGTATTCTTCTCATGAGCTCAAATTCAATCATTCATGAAATTCAACAAGATTTACTAAGTTCAAATTCACTTGACGGAGTCTAACTCGATACTAATGGTGCAATTCTAACCTAGTAACATTGACCAAAAAGTCAATAATGTGTCAAAAGCATGGTAACAATGTAGTGAGTACAAGTAACTTCATGTAAATATAATTCATAATACTCACTGAAATTTTGATACATTTTCACTGTCGATTTAGAATTACCTTACCCCCGACCGTCCCATCTTTTCTTTTCGAAGTAGCAACCATATATCAAACATAACAAAAAAGTTGAGAGAAGCGGAAAGAAAAATGCAAACAAAATGAAACTCTTGGAATTGGTTAAGGAAGCATACAAATATACAACACACATGCAATTTTTTTTGAAATTTTACATCTGAAATAGTCATATCCCATGTAAATTTTCGAATGCAAAATTATATGTGGTATATTTTTTTGGATGTAAATTTTCGATTGTAAAATTTCTCTCAATTTCTTTACAAGTTCGATTGTGCCATCTCAACTTTTAAGTTTTGCGTCTGCCCATGGATCAAATATGCAATTTTCTTTCTGTATAGATCTACAGCAGGCTTTGACCCAATCTTAGCCGTCCATCCAAGATAATGACGTGTTTATTTTGTTCAAAGTCTTTAATTGTTTATAAACATAAAAAAATACATGCAATGCACAAATAGATATGTTATCCCCCAGAATTAGAAGCTCCAAGTCAGCACTCCGCATGGACAACCACGTATTCCCTTTAGCCAGGTGGACCGAAAGCCAGTTGAAAAGTCAATTGGGGAGCCAATATAGACAAGGTCAACAATAGGCTCCTAAGTCCGAAGCTCCTTCATTCAAAGGCAGAGGCTCCTAAGTCCGAAGCTCCTTCATGCGAAAGTAGAGGCTCCTTAAGTCGGAAGCTCCTTCGTTCGAAAGCAGAGGCTCCTTAAGTCCGAAGCTCCTTCGTTCAAAAGAAGAGGCTCCTTAAGTTCGAAGCTCCTTCGTTCAAAGGCAGAGGCTCCTTAAGTCCTAAGTGCTGAAGCTTAAAGCAGACGTTTTCTCATAACAGATTTGAAGATCTCTCAGAACTGATTGACGTGACGTCTGCCATAGAGTGTCTGTAGCGTTAACATGTGTCGGTGAGTTAGTCTACAAAGTAGAATGGCGGATCTTCTACCAAACATTAATTACAAAGATTGGACATTGATGTGAGACTTCAGTCTAGGGGATGTCGCCACGTGGATTTGATCCGATGATCACCACGTCAGCTAAACTAGTATAAATAGCCTCTTTTTGTATAGAGGAAGGGGAGGGGGGTAATCAAGAATAAAAACAACATATTTACACACTTTGCTTTGCTTGATCTTGGGCAATACAATCTATATTGAGATGATAACACATTACAAGACATTTTCATTTATCTATCCTTCCACATATTCCATAACAAAACAGATATTCATTTTGGGGAAATCGATCTAACTATTGTTGATAGCGCAAGGGTCATTCAAATCCAACCATCGGAGCCTGAATAGTTGTGTTTCTTGTCGGAAAGCACTTTCCGCGTTCAATCCAACCATACTACCGCTCCTATTAAGGTAGAAACGCGCTGGATCATTGCTTGACGTGACAAGGGTGGGCCCAGTGTCTGTTCAGTTCATTTTTGGGGTCAACAAGATACACAAATTGTACACTTCTTTTTGCTACTTTTAGTTCCCCCATCTGTCTCCATCCTCCGTTATAGAGCATATCTTCCAACTTCTCCATTATAAAAAACACACAAACTAGGGAATGAAAAACAAAAAAGAACACCAGAAAAAAAACTAGTTTGAATTTTGATAAGATATTCATTTACTGGGAACGAAATTACATGCGGTAGGAGGCTTGAAGCCTGGAAATTTTGATTGATAGCTGATTTTTTGTTGTTTGAAGGGGTGGTGATAAATGGGAAATGTGACGTCAAGTGTGGCGGCAAAGTTTGCGTTTGTCCTGCTGAACCCACCCACGTACGACGTCTACTGTGATGAATTGGATGGGCGGTTGGTGATGAGTGGTATAATGGCAGATAAAAATGTGGATGTCCATTTGTTGCAGACCAAGAGCGGGAATAAGGTTGTGGCCAGAGACGGAGATAGGAGGGGGGTGGTCATTGTCCACTGGTCCACTATTAATAGTTAATTTGTAATGTATTTTTCAGTTTCGTCCCCGTAAAAATTTTGACTCATCCCGTAAAATTTTGAATTTTTTTCCCATTAATAAATATTGAACCAATAACTTACACTTTAAAATTCAATCATACGAAAATCTTAGACCTAAACAAAAGATCCAATAGTTACTTAAATAAATAAATAGCTCAAATCCAATCCAAAAGCAAATGACCAATTTATGAATCAATTACCCAAAGGCCACAGCCCACAAAATGTAATCCCGACTACAGACACCCCTCTTATTGACGAGTTTGAAGTGATGTGGACAAGGATAGACCAATTTCAGATGTCCAGCCGTCTCTACAATCTATTATATAGATATGCAGTTTATTTTTTGTCCTTTTTATGTTCATCTAACGTTCCTGTTTTCAATTTGTATCGACAAACTGATTCTCTTTTTGATCAGTCAATCGAGCTTGCCTATTTTAGTACTCAAAATCGTTGTTTTCAATCCTCTTAGTTAAATTTTTTTTCTCCACCCCCATATTTTCGTCCTCGCAAGATTGAAATCATGGCTATGTTCCTGGTTGTGGCTACGTTCTGAAGCACCTGACGGGGAGGTTCACCATATTGTACTCCCATGGAAACGCCACGGATTTGGGATAGATGCAGGTGCTCTTTATTGAGCTGAAGGCCCACCTTTGTGTCAATATCATGTGGTTTGTCTAAATTTCCGTTCTTGATTATATTTGTGTGTATTTATGAAATAAAATTGTGTGTCATGTATGCATTTACTATGTATATCTGTATTTGTGTTTGAGGGTTTTTTGATTATTTTGGAATGTAAATTTCAATGGGTTTTGATTGTAATGTTGGTATTGAACATGGGTGCCTTCAAGATTGTGGTTTTCAGCAATTTCCTCACTGAAAAGGGTGTAAAAGGGGAAATGTCAACACTTTTTGGTTTTCTTACCCTTTTGGAGTGGAAATTTGGTTATAACATGTTAGATATGAGTACATATATAGATGGAAAATCGAGATTTTGGTTTAGGAACTAAATTTTAGTTGATCATCATTAGAATTCAGACACTTGTAGGAGGTTGTGATTTGTGTTGATATTGAGGTGGTGTTTCTTTTGTCCTTTTTGTTGGTTTAGTTGTATATTTTTTTATTCCTGAGGTTGCTTATTTTAGGATTGTTGAAGAAACTGTTTGGTAGTATGGGTTGAGGCTTGTTGTGTTTTTTATATTGCAAGTATACGATATCGTAACAAGTAATATAGTTGACTTTTGAGTCCGGATTGTCGATCCCACGAGGACTATGCTTTCGTTCTCAATTTACTATTTCTAACTCGTATTTGATGCAAATAAATAAAATTACGGATTTATCGAAACTATTTAATTTAAAAACGTGAAATTAAATTAAATTGAAAACAAACACAATTAATCGAAATTCAAATAATATCGGTTTTAGGGCGGAACAACTTCACTTACTGATCACTTTTATTCCTTAAATCAAGATTCATAACCTAATGTAGTGTTCGATCGAATTCTTCTATTGTATTCAATTTACCCCTCTCGAGTTCTCATTGAGCCTATTTAACTAATTCAATTCCATATCTCTATGCGAATTGACGTTAATCAAACGAAACATTGGNTTCTAACTTTTCTTCCTCAAGTTTTGTACTGTCTGCTTCATGATCTTTTTCTGGATTTGTTGCATGAAATACATCACTCACAAATTCATCAAGAGCATCCACCGGCAGCAAGTTTTTGATGTGAACGAGTGTTTCATTGCTTTGAACATATTGAAAATGACTTGTTTATTGTCCATGCGAAGGATCATTTAGTCATCATAAACATCAATCAACGCTCACCCTGTAGCCAAGAACGGTCTGCCCAAGATAAAGAGGAATATTGGAATCCTCATCCATATCCAAAATTATGAAGTCGGCAGGGAAGATAAATTATCAACCTTGACAAGCACGTCTTCAACAATTCCCTTTAGCTTTTTTATCGAACGGTCAGGAAGTTATAAAGAAATGGTTGTAGGTTTAGTTTCTCCCAATTCAAGAGACCGGTAAACAGATAGTGGCATTAAGTTAACACTTACACCTAAATTACATAAAGAACGTTCAAAATAAATAGAACCAATGGTGCATGGTAAAGTGAAACTCTCTGGATCTCTTAGTTTAGTAGGTAGCTTCTTCAGTAGAACTGTACTACATTCTTCATTTAAACATACGGTCTCATGTTCTTCCAATTTCCTCTTGTTAGCTAAGATTTCTTTCAGAAACTTTGCATAACTAGGCATCTATGCAATTGCATCGGTATATGGTATGTTTATTTGGAGCTTCTTGAAGATTTCAACAAACTTCGCGAATCGCTTATCCATCCTCCTCTTCTGCAACCTTTGAGGAAAGGGGATCGGGGGCACATAAGCTTTGACAGGACTTGGTGCTCTAATTGCAGCTGGTTCTTTTTTCTCTTCTTTGTCTTCATGTTCATGTGTTCCAGCTTGCTCTTTCTCCAGGCCCCTTCTACTTCTGCTTCTTTCTCTCTTCTATTAGGCCTTTGCACATGTATTTCGGGTAGCTGCACTCCACTTCTAGTTGTGATGGCCTACATTTGCTCCTTTTAGTTTATCATAGTATTGCCTGGTAATGTCCCTTGGGTTTGTTCTGTCAACTGCTGAGTTATCTGAGCAATTTCCAATTTCTTGATTGAAGCTTGTTGATCCTGAAAGTTTGTATCAATTTGTTGGAAAACCTTATCTGTCCTTTCTATGTACTAATTGAACATCTCCTCCAAACTTGGTTTCTTTTCTAGCTGAGCATTATTTGGGGCATTTCCTAAGTGAGTATCAGACCACTTGAATCCATATTGGATTGTAAGTTTGAGAATACGGGTTGAAGTTACGGGAGCCATTATAAATAAAATTGACATGTTCTTCTGGGAAACCCATAGACATACAACTTTCAGTTGCATGGTTTGCCCCGCAATTTTCGCACGATACGCTATTCATTACTACATGTACTCCCCTTATCTGAGATTTCACCAACAATTCTACTTGCTTCGTCAACGCTACTATCTGTGAGTTCGTAGATACAGTGTTATCCATTTCATACATCCCGGGTGCTCTCGGTGGTACCACTTTTTCTGATGAAAACATTGATTGTGTAGTGGCAATTAGCTCAAACAGATCCAATGTTTGTTGTACTGATTTTCCTATGATTGATCCACCTACAGAAGAATCCACCTGAGATTTTAACAGTAGTGAAAGTCAGGTGTAGAAGTATTATACTTGATTGCCGATGGAATCCCATGATTTGGACACTTTCGCATAAGCTCTTTAAATCTGTTCCATGCCTTGTGATAGCTTTCTCTATCATGCTGTTAGAAAGTTTGAATTTCTAATATGGTTTTAGCTACTTTTGCCGGTGGGAAGAATTTATTGCAAAATTTTATGGTCAATTCTTCCCATGTAGTAATGCTTCCTTTAGGATCGGCATCCAACCACTCCAATGCGGCATCTCTAAGTGTGTATGGAAATAACCGCAATTTAATAACATCTTCATTGACCCCCGAGCATGGAAATTCTGATAATTTCGAAGAAATCTGGAGATGTGTGTATTTGGATTTTCATGAGGTAACCCATAGAATTGAAGAGTATTGCTCATCAAATTGATCAAGTCTGCCCTTATCTGAAAATTGTTTATCCCGAAATCTGGATGCATAATACTGGAGTGTGAAGGCACGGCTATTAGCATCAAGAACATTGAAACGGGCAAATCTCCTTCATTTATTTCTCTCCGCTCCTGCTACGAATCCGGTAGTGCCGGTACTCTTGCGGCTACTTGTCCAATTGGCTGAATATGATTATGAATGTTTTGACCGTCAACCATTTGATGTTGTTTTTGTTTGTGTTCCTTGCAGCTTCGTCTGAAAGTACGTTTATTTCGAGTCAAACGGTTCAAGATCGTCGCATTGGGTATGGAGCATACAACGAACACTTTTTTAAAATAGAAGTAAAATCAAGTAACAGTTAAAAAAATAAACTAATATTAAAAGTAAATAGTCCCCGACAACGGCGCCAAAAACTTGTTGCGTTTTTTATATCGCAAGTGTACAATATTGTAACAAGTAATAAAATGGACTTTTGAGTCCGGATTGTCGATCCCACGAGGACTATGCTTTCGTTCACAATTTACTATTTCCAACTCGTATTTGACGCAAATAAATAAAATTACGGATTTGTGGAAATAATTTAATTTAAAAACGTGAAATTAAATTAAATTGAAAACAAACACAATTAATCGAAATTCAAATAATATCGGTTTTAGGGCGGAACAACTTCACTTATTGATCACTTTTATTCCTTAAATCAAGATTTATAACCTAATGTAGTGTTCGATCGAATTCTTCTATTGTATTCAATTTACCCTATTTAGTTCTCATTGAGCATATTTAACTAATTCAATTCCATATCTCTATGCAAATCGACTTTAGCTAAATGAAACACTGGTTCTAAGAATTCAATTATGACCGCAATAATTAACATATGTATCTCTACACATTATGCCAATTTACCGAATTTTACCCTTTGGTCTAAACCCTAAACTCACCTCTTGACTCGTAAAGGATTCACAAAATCATTTAATTAGTGATCAAGTAATTAGATGCATTAAGATCATAGTAAAAATCAATACATAAAAATATAAAAACAAGAATCTCAAAATAACGAAATAAAGGATCCCAATTCGGCTACATTGTTCGCCATAAAAATAAGTTAGCTACGCATAATGTAAAAATAAAAATATGCAAAAGAGGTTCGACATCACCAAAATTTGACGAAACGTGATTAATATCCTTCCTTCAAGCCGCTAGTTCTTCTATCTGCGTGTATAGGTGCACTAAAGAATGATTTCAGTCGCTTCTTTTTTTTTTTTGCAGAATTCAGCTGGCTCTTTGTGTGTGCAAAGAATAAATTGTTGCCCTTTTTTTACTATCTAGCCCCAATCTGCCAAAGTCCGAAATCTGTGTGAGTCTATCAAAATTAATTCAGCAACCACTTGCATACATATACCGCCCACTTTCTTCTCTACTTTCACGTGAATATTCCCTTCTATTTCTGTAATGCATGTGTGAATTTATATAAGTGTAGCCGCCCACTTTGACTTGTTGCTGTAATGTGGCTCCCTCCATAAAATTCAACACCTTAGGTCATTTAATTAGGTCATGTAATTAGTAATCGGGTAATGTCATTAGTAATGAATTATTGTCCCAATTAAAAGTCCACAAGTGAGGCCCATTAACCATTTATTTCTCCAAGTCATTCAAGCTTTGGAATTAATGCAAATTAACCCTTCAATTTCTATAGTGTAGACTTTTATCCTCAAAATTGCCGATTTCATTCAATTTCATCATTCTTTTATTTCCACTTATTGGGGACNTAATTTCATCATTCTTTTATTTCCAATTGTTGGGGATGAATCCATAACTGAAACAAAAGAAAATTAACCTAAGTTAAGTAAAAGTTAGTAATTTGACGAAATAAAAGTTTAGTAATTTGATCCAAATAAGTGCACAAATTGCACTTATCAAGGCCTCGAAATTGGATAGAAATTACCGTCTACAAATTTGAATTTGATTTCATGCAGCCTAACACAATTAAAAAGTGGTTCTGATTTTAGCTCGCTGGCCTAGTGCCTACTACTGTAATTGGTCGGATGATTGTTTCCTAGTCAATAATTTTTTCATTTTTGCAGCAATTTACGAATGGAAAAAAATATGGATTTCAAAACTTCTATCTGGGATAGTTGTTGCTAACAATGTATCTGGAAAAAATATGACTATTTGGGATATGGAGCATCCACATGTAAGGTGAGATTTTTGATTGGATGTTTTCCGATGCCCTTGATGTGCATAGAATAAATGGCATTTCAAATATAAAAAGTACAAAATATCCAAAGTAAATTGTCCGTGAAGTTCTCTTCCATAATAATATCAGGCAATAAGAAGCCATATTATATGCCATTAACGGATATATCTTATGCTTGATTCATTCTTTTCATGTGACAGCCATCTGAGTTCAACACATACCATGACATCGAGGCTGTCTATAACTGTTTGAAGAATGAATATGGAATCAAGCAAGAGGATGTTGTTTTGTATGGTCAATCTGTCGGGAGTGGTCCAACGCTACACTTGGCTGCTTGCTGACACGAGGTTCAGAGCTGTTGTTCTTCATAGTGCCATTCTTTCAGGAATACGAGTTCTGTACAATGTCAAATTCACATTTTGGTTCGACATTTTTTAAGTATGTTTCTCAAGGGTCTTTTGGTTTTCCATATTATTTCCTAATCTTATTTAGGTTTGTGATTGAGAGAGTTTCTGTTCATTCTATGCAGAATATAGAGAAAATACGGAATGCAAATTGCCCTGTTTTAGTTATACATGTAAGAATGACCTCTCTTTTGTCTTTTTTTTATCCCTCTCCAAACGCATTTTCAGGACATCCATTTTCCCATGCTGCAATTACATTTCTCACTTTCACAATGAGAAGTTTTCAAGTTTTCTATGTGGTGTTACCATTTCTAGTCCGTTGATAGACTACCTTTGCTTTGAGGACCAAATCAATACTTTTCCATCTCCTGATTGAGCTGGCAATATGATGGCGGCTAGAGGGGTTAAGGCTTTTTCGGATTAACATTTTTCCCAAATTAAAGGAGAAATGTGGAATTAGGATAATAGTAACGTGGTTAATAAAGTTATCTTTTATGAGCTTCTGTCTCGTGAAAGAGTATCAAAGCTTTGTCAAGTTTAGGAATAAAATCAAATTTCAAGAGTCAGCTAAGCTTGCTTGTATTACATTTACTAGCAAGTGTAGAAGTAAATGGTCCTGAGAAAGTTATATAGAATACAGAAAAAAAGTTTCAACTAGGAATAAGATTAGAAAGATTTTCTTGATTTGGCGTGGCCATATTAATGAACACCACCAGTGATCTAGTACAGAATGTTCACTCAGTAGTCATATTTTCCATGGTCTAAATGTTTTTCGGGCTTCTTCTCTTTTTTCTTCTATTCAAGTTGATAAAACTCTAGAAAAGAGAAGGATACCAATTTCAAATAGTATAGCTAGATGAAGCAAATTGTATTAGGAAATCTTGAAGAGAGTACTCTGGTTCAGATAGAAGGAAGAAAAAAACTCATATCCTGGATTTGAAAAACTAGAAAGTGAAACAAAGAATTGAAATAATTGGCAGAATATTCAAAAGAAGACAGCTTTCTACGTGGATAAGGTTTCACTTCATTTGGATTTTCAAGGAATCTCCATTGAGGAGTCTGTTCGACTGTTGTTGCAATGCTTAAGTCTAATAATCATAAGTCTGCTTATATATGTTAGTTCAAGAGAAACCCTCACCAGCGGCATAATAATAGTTATATTTCATTTTAGACGAAGAGACCAATGTATCACACATTATATTACCGTTCAAATATTCTTCTACACAGAATGTCAAAGTTTCTCCTGCAAGTTTCTAATAATTGGTTATGTTGTCACTACAAACTAGGAATAAGATTAGAAAGATTTTCTTGATTTGGCGTGGCCATATTAATGAACACAACCAGTGATCTAGTACAGAATGTTCAATCTGTAGTCATATTTTCCATGTGACTAAATGTTTTTCTGGCTTCTTCTCTTTCTTCTTCTATTCAAGTTTATGGGTCAGGATAGATTAACATAGTCGTGTGTTACAAAAAAATAAAAAATAAAAAACCTTCCTTCTTGATATTTAACCTCTACCTGTATTCCACATCCCTAGCTGATTGTGTTTTCAACAACTCCTATTTCGTTGGTTCAATGTTTGCAGGGCACAAATGATGATATTGTCGATTGGTCCCACGGTAAGCGACTGGGAGAACTTTCTAAAGAGAAATATGATCCATTATGGGTCCGACTCCAAGGTAGAGGACACTGCAATCTTGAAACTTTCCCGGATTACATTAAGCACTTGCGCAAATTTGTAAATGCAATGGAGAAACACTCCTTTTCAAAACGAACAAGGCAAAACTTAGTGCAGCCTCGAGTATAACAAAATCCAAACACAACAGGTGTTTGAGATTTCCAAAAAGATAATTGATTCTTTCTTATCACTTAGAAAAATGCTGCATCATGGGTAACTTCTTCTTCATGCATCAATGCAGAAAGGTATGAATTAGAAATGATAGGGAATTAGAAATTAGCTTGTGTGATCTAGATCTTGTTGGGTAGGCAATTTTCTTGGTCAAGAATGACAAAAATTTCCCTCCACGAGGCAGCATCGTCTGTCTATGAATCACTAGTTTTTGCCCTATGCAATGCACGGGTTGTGTTATTTTTAAGGTAATATTAGCGTTTTGAATACTAAGATTAGATGGGAGATTGTATTACAAAATTTTCACACATTTGTATAAAAGAAATAATATTTCATAGAGATATAAGGGTCAATCCAAAATTTAAACAAAGAGGGAGGGGACCTATAAATACTATATGAAAAATGCATCCAAAAGGAAAGTCCAAATTTACAAGAGGGAAACAATGCATTTTAGTACGTGGAATACAACAATTTATTTGAAAATGAGATGTTCACAGGGTTTCTTGTTTTCATCGACTTTCTTGTTTCCTAAACTGACATAGAAATAAGGCAAACGCTCCTTACAATTGAAATAAAAACACAAACGCAAGTTGCAATAATTAGAAAGATTTTATCTTTAAAACTAACTGCAGAACTTTCACAACAACATTTAAGTTCGAAATTTTCTTCTCATATATAAGAATGAGAGGGTCGTCCAATTCCTGCAGTTGTTAGAGAGCTTCTTACTACACCTTCATCCAACAAGGAGTTCATTTTTTCAGTAATAAATATTTCATTGCCAGTAACAACATTAGTAGAGAGACTTACACATTTCAAGTTCTTGTGCAAATTGTGCAATAAGCAAATGTAAACCCTTCCTGAAGATATGAAAAACAGGGATAAAACATTAAGCAAACTTAAAATAAATACATAAATAACTTACTTTGTGTGATACTTGAGTAAATGATATTGCATTATTAGCTTTGATCTATAACATGCTTATAACAGAATACACATCTTTTATCCAAACTTGAAGAAGCTCGTACTCAAATAATAATGAGAACTGCCTTTTTGAAGGATTCCCTCTTTTTGCTAATGAGTGACTTTAGAAATGATGCTCATCATTTTCAGCATTCTTCTTCTGATAATTGTCTAATGTGAGGAAGAAAAAGGAACATGCCCCATAGCTACAATTGGGGGTTCGATACCTTATTATATTTTCACGTTTAAAGATGCTAAACCAACAATCAATGTCACATCAAAATCAATTAGCAAATCAATCGCTGCAGCATTTAAAGTAATTAAGCAAACTGGATATCATTAGAAGCTAAAACCGAAATGGCATACTTGTGAAGAATAAATTTTTGGCAACTAATAGAACATACCTTCACAGTACGCCAATGATCCATACATGCTCGATGAACATACTTTGACGTCCATTTGCACTTGCAAGGTGAATAAAATCCCTACCTGATAAAGAACATAAGTTACAAATCTGAACATTACGTTTACATGAAGTGATACTCCCTTAGACTATAAATTGTCATTAGTCAAAATATAGGCTCAATACACAATGAAAGTTATGCCATAATAAATACATAAATAGAACCCATTACACTACCATAATCAACGCACAAATAGAACCCATCATAGTTTACACCATAATCTCCAAGAACATTGGAATACAATGTCATAAAAATATATGTGATCACATTGAAGTCAAGAAAATAAAATCATCTAAAGCTCAACATATGACTAAGATTTATTGTCATCAGAAACAAAATTAGCATTGATATAGTTTACAGCATAAACCCAAATGTCTCAGCATAGAGTACCAAAAGTTTAACAATTGCCAATTCTCTGAGTAAAGACGAGCATAAATTTGTGAAAACACCAGAAGCCCACAATAAACCTGGACTACGTACCATTTGTGTAAACAACTATAGCAAGCAAGCACCATTTATGGAGGCAATGACAGAAAGAAGCACCCATAAAGCCAGAAATGGACAAAAGTTAGGCAAAGCGGTCCAAAATATGAACAATGAGTGTGTTCACACTATAAAAGATAAAATCGAGAACTTCATTCATTTTTCCATGTAAAATGTTACTTCTTATACACAAAAATTATTGAATTGAGTTTACAATGAAAACACTGAAATGACAAATCCTAAAGGTTTTTGTTACTTCTTATACACAAAAATTATTGTTAGGTTGCAAAGGAAGTGTAATGAAATTGAGTTTACAATGAAAAGCCTGAAATGACAAATCCTAAAGGTTTAAAAAAATTCTAAAATTGGAGTACATTAAATTATTTTCATAATTGTTTCCACTGAATTAATCTCAAACGTCATTAAAAGCACCCGAATTTGAAATTTACATAACATTTTCAGTAACAACGAAACAAAACACAACAGTTTCACACATAATTCACAGTAAAACAATCTTTTATCCCGGAAAATTACAATCAGCATATCCCAAAACGCAAAATTCATCACAGAACGAAAGAAGAGTGAAACTGACAGTAAAAAAGAAATCATACCGTCGGTTTCAAGGCAAATTCAGCATTGGATTTGCTCCCCAGGCCCCGCTTCGAGGTCGATCTCCAAGGGTTCATTAATCGGAGGATTAATTAGTGGTGAAGAACCAGAGAGATCACCACCCATTTTATTCAAATCTTAACTCTCACTTCAAAAAAATCGAACACTAAAATGGTGAAGATAATGATTTTGATTCAATTGAATAATTCATCCATGTAAAAAAGGAGAGAAGAAGAAGAAGCGCAACGTGGAGCGGGGAGAAGAAGAAGAAGTCGTGGAAGTAAAGGGTTTTGAGAAAGTCGTACACAGGAGAAAATGACGGTGAAAGAGTCCAGTGAAAGAGTCGGGATGGTTTCTATTAGGAGATATTTTTATCCTCATACGGTGTCGTTTCTACGATAGGTAAGGTATGAACAGTAGGAAACCACATATTGAACAATATAGTCAAATCGGTTCCAGTGTGAAATCGAGGGCAGGAAATTGTGGCATTCCCTCTTTTATATGAGTAGGAAATAAGGATGTATACTAGGAATGTCGACATTTATTGTAGGGTATGACCATTTCTTAAGGAAATGATGAGTTTTGCTACACAAACAGGTTCAATGACATGTTAAAAAATAGGAGGATACTTGTCAATACATGATTTGATAGTTTGAAAAAAAATATATATATATACCCCACCCTGTCAAAAGCTCCTATTCAAATTCTAGAAACTACAGATGAAAATATATGTCAATTTTAGGGTTCATTATCTACGTCCATCTTCTTTAATTATTATTCATTTTGCTTCGATTAAAATTTAATTGCACAAATCAGCGTGGACAGAAAAATCTTATGGACAATATTGCCATTTGTTGCTGATCATTGACTAGAAATATGTTACATGGGTATTTTTTAAAATTGAGTTAGAAACTGATGCATATGCTACATTAGTATTTATGCACGATCTTATGGGAAGCACTAACCACAAATTTAACTATGCAAAAACTTCTTACATAATATCGACATGTTCGATAAGATGGACTGTATGGTTTAATCCTGTATAAAATGTTGCACACAAAATATGCTTTATGTGGTGTAGAGTCTTCTATTTGGGTTCAAATTTGAAATAAACTCGTGCAACAGAAACATACTTATAGGGATTGGGTTACAAATTTAGCACAAAAATACGATTTTTGAAGAATCGGTATTTTGTGGGATAGATATCAAATGTAATTTTTACATCTTATACACGGAATAATATGCAGCCGACTGAGTTTCCAAGATACAAGCTGGGGATTCTTGTCAACACGTGCTATGTCATTTATGGCCTGTTTGATTGGACTTTTACTTTTGTTTCCATTTTTTGTAGAAGGACTTTTTGACAAAGTTACCTTAGATCATTTCATCAAAAAAATTCTTTTAGCTAGACAAAGTATTTTTCTAAAAAAGTATTCAAACATATTTAAAAATCATGAACTTTTAAAAATCAATGAAGGTTGAACTGTAAATTATGAAAATTACCAAATTATTTAAAGGTCAAGTAAAGGTTGAAATAAATACCTTGCACATTGCGGATTATCTTTGACATAGCTTGCCATTTCCTACCACTTTTTATAATCAGTGTCGACGTTTATTATTTGAAGGCCTTCTTGTGGACAAACTTAATCAGATTGATCAACAACTATTACTTGCTCTACATGTGTTTATGTGTGCGTGCAAATTCACATGTACACCAAAGTGAGTGTCAATGTGCTATATGCACTTATAGGACGTGAAGAAAAAGGATAACAAGACAATTCATAGTATAAGGACGGACTTGTGACTCTCAATGTTTTTAGCTTCGTGGGACTTGTGTGCACATGTACGTTCATGACTACGTGCATATGCACAAATATAGAGTAAAGAAGGAAGAAAATATCTAAATAGTTCATGGTCAGGAGGAATGCTACTCATAACATTTTTATTATTTATAAAAGTGTAAAAGTCAAGAAAATTTTCATGAGCGGAGAAACTTATGTGTTATGGAAGTATCAAAGATATGCTCACAAAAAAACCATAAAAGAAGAAATGTATTCATAAAACTTCATGCTACTTGAGGCGCCTGCATAGGGACGCTTTCTGGTCAATGCTTGGTGATGTTCAAGATTTATAAGTGTCCTAGACACATCAGTTGTTTATAATTTAGTCCTTAAAATCAGATTTTTAATAAATTTTTATGAAGTATGATTTGTGGTTGAAAAGTTACGAATCTTATAATTTTAACTCGAGATTATCAGTAGATTTTAATCTACACCGAACAGACTTATAAAATAATGAAGACTATAACATTTAAATCCCTTAATTCAAATTAAAAAAAAAATTACCTTTTAAATTTGGGAGTCGATAATATTTCTACTAGAATCTTTAACCATTGAGAAATAATTTCTACTGATAGCCACTATAGGTGGTAATGAATAGAACTTATACTTACAATTAGAACAATATATAGAACTTGTTTATGAGGTAAACTCCCGCGTCTCACTCGTCTACGTATTTCAACCCCTTTATCTTGTGGAGCAACTATATGTATACATCCCTACTTGGTGTGGATTAAAATTTTGTTAGAAATTCAAGTTAAAATCAAATTTTATGGATCAACAACCTTTCAATTATCAATTTTTATTAAAATCTATTAAAAATTTTATTTTTAGTTGTGCTATGGTAGCTAAAAAGAAATTTAAATAAATTTTTTTTTTTGACTTAAGAATATAAAAAGAAATTGAAATTATCAGTTGGAAATGTACAATACACACATTAATGTTCAGCAGTACGTGGCTACACGCGCCCTCTTTTCGCTGTGGACTCTCCTCTTCTCATCAGCCGTCTAAACTCAACGGAAGCCACTTTTCCATGGCTAGCTCCGTCCGAATCGCTGTCGTTGGGGACGTTGTAAGCCCTTATTTTCTCTCTCTCCAACAAAACAGTCACGCATTCTTATACTTTAGTTATATGTATACGTTTACATGTTTCCCTATTTACGGGCAAAATTGTATTCTACATACAAAATATGATTAATTTGTGTTTTCTTAAGCTATAGTAGGATTAATGATTAGTATAAGAGAAGTAATGTGAAGTGAAATTTTAATTGATGTAATTTGTTTAATTTTTATTAAATTCGGGTTTTTTGAAGCATGATGATTGGAGTCTGGAAGAAGATTCAAAGGCGCTTCAACTATTGAAGGTAGTTTATTGCCAATTTCGTTTTCTTCCTCCATTTTTTTTACTTTCGTGGCATGTATGAATTTACTTTAAGGACAACTATTCGATTATGTATGCGTATTTTGTGTGCTAATAATAGAGAAACGTTAGGTAGTTTCCATATTTATATCTCTTCTTGTATTCAGTATTTTTTTGTGTGATAATGCAGCCGGATCTGGTGCTGTTCACAGGCAGGTGACGCTGTTTATCCACTTATTTGCATGCCTATTTTCTCTTTGTATTTCCTGCTACTTCTGTAGATTAGATCAATTGTTAGGATGTCATGAATTCATCAGTTCCCTTTGTTTCTTTGTTCTGTGGGGGATTTTCTCCAGGTGATTTTGGTAATGAGAACGTTGATCTTGTTAGAAGTATAGCCAATCTTGAAATTACCAAAGCAATTATTTTGGGAAATCACGATGCCTGGAACACTCAGAAGTTTTCTGCGAGGTAAGTTTAATTTGACTTACATAGGATTATCTGCAATGAATGTTAAATGTGTTATTGCTTTTTAGTAAGAGGTAAATAAAGGAGATGAGGTGCCATATTTATTGTGCATTAGCTCGACATGGAAAATGACAGCAAGGTGGATTTGATTAGATCATATAAATCTGATTTTGACACAATTTGAAATTTCTCTTCATAGTTTAATTAATCTTCACTTAGTAGTGTTAAAGCTCAGCATATTCTTTAATACATCAGCTACACTATTTTCTGGTAAAATATTGTAATCTTGCGAACATTTTCATGATGGTAATTGCTAGTATCTGAATCTTTGTTCTTGGGTTAACCTTAAAATCCACATTCGGGTCTTGTAGGTTGATTAATATGAACTTAAAGCCATTTATCTGGAGGTATAAATTGCTTCACTAATGTTTCCATTGCTATTTGACAAACAAGGATTTCTCCATGTTACAGAGTTAGTTCACAATCAAGGAATTGTGATGTTTACTCGTTCATGGTCTAAGCTTCTGACTTGCTTGCTTTAGGGAAAAAGTCAGTTACATTGCATTTATACAGTTCTCAAATCTATTGTTTCGTTTTTTGTTGCAGAATGCTATAAAAGTCCCTTTTTTTTTTCAATCTATTCAAACTTTGGAGATAAGATAAAGTTTGCAAACCATTATACACCTTGGGAGGAATTTTTTGGTTAAGCTGTTAGACCCTGGAACAGATTTCTTTTTTAATGGATATGTATTTCGAGGTCTTCTGTATATGGATCGTACTGGAAGATTTTGTCCTACTCTAAATTGCCTAGACACCCTTTTCTGGTTATTCTCTTTATTTGGTTCAGTATTATTCTGTGTAGTAGTTTTTCCTGATTTTGGTCTTCGTTTACTCCTAAGTCATAAACATGATTTGAATGCTTCAGCTACATTTTCCTTACATTTTTAGACTGAAACTCACATGGTCTGTGGTAGTTGCTTTAGATTTCCCGTAGATCTAGCAATGAACCAAATTGCGAGCCAGAAAAAGGATTAATGTATGCCGACCCCAAATTTATTATGAAAAAGGCTTAGTTTGTTATTATAAACAAATTTTAATTCTCCTCTAGCCTCCTTCCTTCCAATTTCCCTCAATCAAAAAAGGGTGTATAGAAGATATAACTCTATGTTTGTCAGCCTTCTTAGTGGTAAATGCCTTATACAATGGTTTACTCTTTGTATTCACTTTATTTATTATTATTTGTTTACTTTATATATCTTCCCTTTGATTTTTGTAATTGATATTACTTTCGATATAGGGAAAAAGATGCAGTTCAACTTCAGCTTGAGTGGTAAGTTTAATAGCATCTATTTTAAAATTTCAATGTTAAATTAGTATTTATTTTGGAGATATGTTTTGTATTAAGACTTACTTTCTACACGGCCAATTTTGTTCAGTTTTTATGTGATCTCTCATTTTGGTCACTCTGTATATTGGTACTTGTCAGATTTATGATCTCTATGACTAAGGACATAGAAAGCGCAGATTCAGATTAAAATTGATGTAAAATAATACACTCTTCGAAATTTATGAGAAGAATTTGTACACCGTTGAGTTTTTCAAGCTCCACTACTAATCAGGTTGAGCGAAGATGATCCATGGCTCATGAATTTCTTATTTTAATAACAGATCTTGAGAGAGGGCTGCTAAAATTTCCATTTCATGCATACTTAGCTGAATGGATGGAGAGATAGTAACCTCTTTAGAAACTTTTGAAGGACAGCTAAATTGTAAGTGCTGAAAATAAAAAATTCTAGCACATGTTAGTAAAAGCAATTGGGTACACATGGGAATGCGATGACTTGCATACTTACCTGCTTAATGCTTAACGTCTGATATGTGAATTTATATTTCCTTTGTAATCATATAAATTGATAATGTGATCTTCAGCATGAGGGCCGTGATTTGAATTAAAATTGACTTAGTGAGAGGGTGGATTAGGTTTTATGACTTGTAGATGCTATTATGGTAAAGTTCTCAGTCCCTTTTGCCTTTGTCAATTGGATAAGTTGCACCTTGGTAGTTGAACTTCTGATAGCATTTGTGAAGGTTCATGAAGCATGATCTGGTCAATCTCGGTGTTTGCGTAAAGCAAGGTTGGTCTTCTGAATCTTAGTACAATCTATTATTACATAAACCTCATCCTAGGAAACTTGAATCTCTTCTAGATCAGCATTCATAACCACTCCCCCAAGCATTTTATTTTGATTATGGTTTTATTATCGGTTATCTGTTCTTTTAAGTAGACAATACTAAAATTGTCATTTGAATGCGTAGTAAGGTTGCCTAACTTGGGAGTGTGAAACATGGCCATGCGGTAATTTTTAAAACTGTCAGGTGGAAACTGCCATAAAAACTAGAAATACGTTATCCTGATAAAAACCTGGGATCCCTTGATTTATTTCAGTTATATTTCATAATGTGTATCGTGCTTATTCTAGTTACGTGCGGTACTGAAGATAACAGAGAACATTTACATATGGGACACACTTAGCTGTGTTCTTTGGCATGTGACATTCTATGACTAAATTAATGCTGCTGCTAAACATATTGCGGCTAATCACTGTACACTTTATGCTGTAAGTCTTGGCGATGAGCATGTTGGTTATCGGCGTCTGGATTTTCCAACTATGAAGTTGAGTATTGTTGGTGGACGTCCTTTTTCTTGTGGTGGTGAGCAGTTATTTCGGAAAAAGCTTCTTACTGCAAGGTTAGTAGTCTACTATTGCCAATTCAAAATTTTTGTACGCTATCCATTCAATCTCACTTGATCATCCTCTGAGTGGAAGCCATTCAATCTCACTTGATCATCCTTAAATGGAAGCCATGGAAGAATGTTTATTTATTAATTTTTCTGAAGTAAAAGAGTGGAGTCAGTGTACAAGAGGGTAGTTAAAACATAAAATGTCTATCGTGAACCTAAGATTTTAGGTGATATATACAACATTTAAGTAACCTTCCTGCAATTTAATGTCAAGCTGAAGGATTTTTGCGAGAGACACCCAAAACTTAATGAAAATGTAGAGTTTTTCATATACAAAAAAACTATGGATTTGTAACTTCTATAATTTTGTGACATGGTACTTCAAGCTTTTCTTTCTCTTGACTAACTGAGTAAGAAAGGAAAGGAAAGTTAAAATGTAATTCAAAAACAATAAATGCAACGAGGTAATTGGAAACATCTATGAACATAAGGTATCTATTATTATTTATTTTATTATTATTATTTTTTTTTGGAGGTAAATGGAATATATAATTACTTTGAAAGATTCTAAAAGGATTTATAATTGCATCTAAACCTAAACTGTCGCATTGATCTATCTAGATGAGCATTGACTATTTTTGACATGCATATGCTATAGATCAATGGGCTCAAGTCCTTTCGACTACCTTTTCGAACTCGTCTTTTCTCTACATTGGCTTACATTTGGATGGTTTTTTAAATAATTTTAGCTTACATTTGGATGGTTTAAAAGGTTGAGCGAAGATGATCCATGGCTCATGAATTTCTTATTTTATAAACAGATCTTGAGAGAGCTGTTAATATTTACATTTCATGCATACTTAGCGGAATGGATGGAGAAATGGTAACCTCTTTAGACACTTTTGAAGGACAGCTAAATTGTAAGTGCTGGAAATAAAAAAAATTCCATCACATGTTAGTAAAAGCAATGAATAATTTTTCTTCACCATGCCAGTTGGCATTACCAGGGCCACATTGGCCCTGGTAATGTAGTAGGCTTCAAAAGCAATTGGGTAATGGCCTTGGTAATGTAGTAGGTTTCAAAAGCAATTGGGTAAATGGGAATTTTTAGCAATGCATACTGCCTCTGCGGATGACTTTTTTACCATGTACGATTGTGAGGGGACATGTGTTAATGGCAGATAATCTTCGAATAAGGGGTTTTTATGTTACAGAGTGGTATTAGATGTGTAAGGGGGGTGTGGATACGATTGACCACTTGTTCCTTCATTGTGATGGTGCTCGTTTGTTGTGGAATGAAATTCTGGCTTCTCAACATACGGATTTGGTGTTGCCAAGGCGTATGGACGATATGTTAAAGGCATGGAGGAGAAAGTTTTGTAATAAAGATAACAAGCTTGTTTGGAACCCTATTTCGGGCTGCATTATGTGGTGTGTGTGAAGAGAAAGAAACAACTGCTGTTTTGACAATCAAACACGGATAACGGAGTAAATTAGAGAATTATTTTACTTGATACTGTATACTTGGTTTAATACTACGGCTACTAGTCATATAGACAGGCTATCCATTTTCATGTTGTTTCTTTCTTGTTTAAATTGATAATATACTTCATGTATGTTTTTTTCCTTTGATTAATAAAATACTTGATTATCTATAAAAAAAAATAAAAAATAAAAAAAATTCCTCAAATCAGAGACAATTGCAATGTGTTAAAGTCGGCAGCATTCAGAAAAGTGATTTTAATAATTAACCCAGCCCAACCTGACCCAATCCAATTCACTCCACATCACAACTGATTTGCTGTATGATATGCGCATATGGAATAGAGAGACTGCATGTGGAATTTTATTGTACTTGTATATTTTTCATATCTAGGTGAATTAGAGGAGTATATGCTATGTCGCAACAAGTGGATACTTTGTTATTTAACATAAAAGATAAAAAATTATTACAACCTAAAGTAAAAATGAAATTATTGGCAGGGTGTGATTTTGCTAATGCTCCCTTATAAATAGGCTCTCTAATCTAATTTCTTTGTGATTGTTTATGAGTAAAAACAATCTAAGAGACTAAGACCTAATAATAATTAAAATATGTAAAAACTATATGAGCATTGATAACATAGAGACACTTAGACGTCCTTTTTTATCCTTGCAAAACTGATTTTTCCCATCTTGAAGTGGATAGATTGCAATTAACTGCATTGCAATTATTATATCAGATATGGTATCCGTGACATGAATGAAAGCGCAAAGACGATTTATCAATCTGCTTTAAGGACTCCCGAGGATCATTCAGTTGTGTTCCTTGCTCATAATGGGCCAACAGGTGTACCAATATGCGAAACAAAATTTAGTATTTTCTTGCAACCTTAATGTATGTGGAGGATCTTGCCTTACATTGATATGATGGGTAATATGATGCAGGTCTAGGATCCAATGTGGATGATATCTGTGGAAGGGATTGGGTTTTTGGAGGTGGTGACCATGGTGATCCAGGTGATTTTTCTGCTTCTAAATGCACCATGGCTCCTGTGATTATTTATCTGGCTAATCACATCCTCTCATCTTGATGCAGTTTTGACTTTCTGCACACTGTTGTGATAGCACTCCATATGCGATGATTAAACATGGTTTTTATTGTACAGATTTAGCAAATGCAATATCCCAATTAAAAGAGACCAACAAATTGTCTATCCCATTGGTTGTCTTTGGTCACATGCACAAACAGCTGGCATATGGAAATGGTCTTCGGAAAATGATTGTGGTTAGGGATAACAACACTGTATACCTCAATGGGGCCATTGTTCCGAGGGTCAAAAGATTGGGCAATGAACCGGGGGAGTATGCTAGGAGCTCCATCTTTAGTGAGACATCAGTTGAGACTTCAGAATCGCATGGTACCATTCGAGCCTTTACTACTGCAGACATTTTAGATGGGAGGGTGGAGAAAATTGCTGAAACTTGGGTTTCAGTAATTGGTGATAAAACAACATTAGAGGAGGAGCATATATTATTTAGCAAGGCAGCTAGAGGCTCTACTATTTAGAGTTATTAGTTGTGCCCACTCGAGAATGTATACTAAGTAACTTGTGTACTCATCTGTTTGTAACTTTTGCTCTCTTATTATGCTGGTAATGAAATATGGCTTTCTTTTGATGTAACATACAGTTGAAAATAAATGTCAGCAATTAATTTGTTGTTAGAAAATCGACGTGAATGACTTTGAGGTCGACAATTTTCCATGATTTCTATCCATGTGCTAGGTTAAACCCTAGACTTCAGCAGGCAGGTAGATGAGTGGTTATGATGATAAATGGATATCTAGGCTTGGAGCAGCCCACATTTACGGGCAGCCGACACGCTAGTTTCTGTCCGTTCCAGGCCACCCAGGCTAGGGGTGGACAGGTCCTCATTGACAAGCCTAGTTGGGCCTGAATCTTTTATGGCCTCCAGCTCCGAAGGAAGTTAATGATCTTGCTCAATGCTGACTAAACATCTGTTACGTTGGTAGGTTAGTTTTTATGGCTCTCTCTTAACTCCCACCCACCCCTACCACCCATAAAATTTGGTTCGCCTCTCTGCTTGTATTTGCGTGTGATAATATTAATGAGCTGAACAAGAAAGGTATACATTATATGAAAATGATGACTAATCTAGCAGTGTTTTTCCTGGACTCCTTTTAAAAACTAATAATCTGAGTCCGACTGTGAATACATCTTTTTAAAGCTCTATGTTTCATCTTCAGTTCTGTTCGAGACTTAGCTTTAGTTGGTGCACCAACTTCCAAGCAATTCTTTACACTTTATTGACCCAGTCTTCTCCCCCTTTGAACTAAATCTTTCAAAATTTGGAAAAAAGTGATTGCAGCTTGCTCCCACATCTTTCTTTGCTCAACGTAAACTATCGTGGTGAATAGGAAAACATGGTCAAGGAGCCCCAGTTCGAAATAGAAGGCATAAGTCACTAGAATTTAATGAGCTTTCGCTATCTACTCAAAAGGGATTGAACAATAACATGAAAGGAACGGCTTGAGAAGGATAATGTTCAAGCGATGTAACATGGTATTCTTCTCGTGAGCTCAAATATGCAGTTTTCTTTCTGCATAGATCCACAGCAGCCGTTGACCCAATCTTAGCCGTCCATCCAAGATAATGGTGTGTAAATTTTGTTCGAAGCCTTTAATTGTTTATAAACATAAAAAAAAAAAATAAAAAATACATGCAACGCACAAATAGATACACAAATTGTACACTTCTTTTTGCTTCTTTTAGTTCCCCCGTCTGTCTCCATCCTCCGTTATAGAGTGGATCTTCCAACTTTTCCATTATCAAAAACACACAAACCAGGGAAAGAATAACAAAAAAGAACACCAGAAATTAAAAGAAAAAAAAAAGATTGTGAATTTTGATATGATATTCATTTACTGGGAACACAATTCCATGCCATAGCAGGCTTGAAGCCTGGAAATTTTGATTGATAGCTGATTTTTTGTTGTTTCAAGGGGTGGTGATAAATGGGAAATGTGACGTCAAGT